TTCCGAGGCTGAGTAATCCATACCGGCAATCAAGCGCGACGGGTGACGATTCTCCCATCTAGAGAAGCTCAGGTCCCCTTTTCTACTTCTACGCCGGCCAACCGTCTGGTTCGTGACGGTGAAGGAGAATCAGGGGGGGGGGGTTTCTTCTTCTAATGGCTGGATCTCAACCCGTGGCACACTTCAACCGGGGCGAGAGGGTGGGCGTGATAGATTTTGCTGGCACTTGAGAAACTATGAATGTAATACAATTGTATAACAAATATGCGCGTAAGGATTGAAATTGAAATTGAAGTTGAAATTGAAATTTAAGTGCTTGAGTTGCATGGTTAACTGGAAATGTCGAACCCCGCGAAGAAGATTGCGCTCTGGACGTATCTCTTTTCTATCTACCTTAATTAGCATATAAAAGTGTAGCACGACAGCCGCCGGTTCTAACCGTGATTACGGTTCCACGTTCCCCTCCAAGAGCAATATATGATCATCTCCAACATAATACAATACAACATAGTCCAGCCAAAGCCAGAGCAGGATTGTCTGATCTGTCGGCAGGAGATCTAGCGGAAGCAAGACGATGATGAGCTTGGCATGCCACTTGGTTGACCGACCCCAGCATAACCCCGTGGCATGTCCTCAAGTCCCGATTCCTGGACCCAGCCGTAACGTCTCCAGCGTCTTTTCTTTGCTCGCATCGTATGACTGATATGGAGCAAGGGGGCTCGCTTTAATGCGTCTAGCTGGCTGGACGCCGGACTAAGGATGGCTTTTCTCTTCGAGCAGGCGAATGTTGTGAAGGCGTTCTAGAACTTGGTAGCCATCTGGGGGACTTGTATGTATGTACGCCACTACTCCATCACAAGAAATTCACAACAAAGGAAAGAGATGCGCAAAAGTAATCTTACCGTGCGAAAAGTTGAACTCTCAATATTGTGTTGTCAATTAGCTATTATATATAGATCGCTAGCTCCGTAGGGTATTCCTCCGGCCGGATCGTGCCACTCGACGTAGTATTATCCTTTTTTTTAGCCATGTCGCATTTGACGTTGATTTTGTGGAGTAGCGAGCTGCGTTGAAGAGAGCTGTCATGTCATGTCATGAAGCTTTTTCAACGCGGCTTTTCCTACCACCATTCACTCAAATTCAGTGCAGTGCTCACCCTAATACTCACTCACTAGGCAATGGCTCAGCTTACGTAGATCAGCCCAGGCACCAAGCACCAAGCACCAAGCGGCGCTTCAGAGGTCCCAAGCTCGCTTCTACGTCTACAATCGCATAAGCGAGTTGAAACACGACGCCCCGGAGGAAGGCAAAATCCATGGATCTGTTAACTGGGCTATACAACACCAGAGAATGCGAGCTTATGCAGGAGAGACTTAATATTCGTATCGCCTGATCGTATCCACATCCCAAATCCATTCATCATAATGCATGCAAAAAATGAGCGCCTTTGAAGTTTCACCGCCCGTCTAAGTGTCACCACCCGGCTCCCAACACCTTCAACAGCAAAAAAGCTTAGCAAATCGCATGCGTCTTCCCCGTTTTGCCCTGCAGACTATGCTTCTCCTTCCTATACGCCTCGTGGTTATGTCCCGAGCGCCCACTGTGGCTCTGATGCTCCTTGATATACTTCTCGGAACGCACCACCTCGTTCTTGTCCATGTCATCCAGGACGCCAATGCACAGTTTGATATCCGCCAGCAGCTGGTCACACCTACTCTTGCTGAAGTCCTCGCGAACCACCACACGCAGCATCTTGAGATCCTTGGTGTTGGGCGCCATGGTGTAAGCCGGGACGACCCAGGAGCGGCCACGTAGTTGGTGAGCGAGAGCGAACTCGTCGTAGTGCTTACCTGCTTTGGGGTCGAGACGGAAGGCGACGAGGGGGAGACCTTGGCCGTTCTTTTGGGACATGATGATGAAACCTAGTTGGGAGAGGCTGTCGGAGAGGTAGTCGGCAGTGCGGGTCAGATTGGACATGATGGAGCGGTAGCCACGCTTGCCGAGGCGGATCAGCTGGTAGTATTGGCCGATTACTTGGGAGGCACCTTTCGAAAAGTTCAGGGTGAACGAGGCTTGATCTGCACCAAGGTAATTGATGTTGAAGACGAGCTCCTTAGGGAGATATTCGGGCGCACGCCAGATGACCCATCCAACACCTGGATAGACAAGGCCATATCTGTAGTTGTGTAAGTAAATACTATAGCGAAGTGAGGAACGTTAGACGACGTACTTGTGACCCGAAGTATTAATCGACACAACTTTCTCAAGCCTGAAATCCCACTCCAACTCGGGCACCACAAACGGCGCCACAAATCCTCCAGATGCAGCATCAATATGGATAACCGTATCAATGTTCCGCTCGATCAGCAAGTCGTTGACCTTCTTCGCATCCTCATACTCGCCCGTATATGTCGTGCCCAAAATAACACAGATACCAATCGTATTCTCGTCCACCAGATTGACCGTCTCTTCGGGATCAATCACATACCGGTCCTGCGTACAGTACACGTACTTCTCCTCGACCTCAAAGTACCGCGCAGCCTTCTCCCAGCACACCTGCACAGCAGAGCTCATCACGATGTTAGGTTTATCCCACGGCTTGCCAGCAGCCTTGCGAGCGTTCTGCCACCGCTTCTTCATGGCGAGAACTCCGAGCATGATAGCTTCGGAGGAGCCGACGGTCGATGTGCCGACGGGAGCATCGGTTTCGGAGGCAGTCGGGGCGTTGAAAAGACGGCCGATCATGGAGACGCAACGGTTTTGGATGTCGGCTGATTGGGGGTATTCTTCGTAGTCGATGAAGTTCTTGGAGAACGATTCGGTCATTAGGTCTTCGACTTCTTTTTCCTGCGGCGGCGTTAGCATTCGCTCGATTCGGAATACGTTGCTTTTCTGGGACATACCATGAACGTAGTGACGAACGAAGCCAAGCTACAAAACACCCATCAGCCATGATCCAATGCCTCGATTCCCAAGAAACCTGTAGATATATACAGATATAGGTCTGCAGAGCACCTACTTCAGCATGGGGTTGCCATCCAAGCTCAGATCATCCTTGATCATACGGTAGGCAACCTCCTTCGGCATCTCCTTCTCAGGCATCTCATGCTTTGGCATATCCTCCGCGGCGAACCGCGAGCCATAGACGGTAGTGGCGAAGGAGTCTTCATCGCTGCCGGCGGCAATGCCGAGTTTCTCGAGACCCTTGACGAGGGGTTGGTCGACGAGGCCGTCGTGCTTGATGCTGGCGAGGTGGACCATGGTCGCGGTGTTTATTATCTTGTACTATATGTAGAGCAAGAGAGAGAGAGGGAAGCAAGGAAGAAAGTTGTTGGTAGTTGAGGAACTGAGAGATATTCACATACAGAGTCCTTACTTAGATGCAGGACAAGAGTAGTTAACCTAAGTACCCACCTAGTCAGTGGCAGCCGACCTACTACGTACGTAGCACTTTATACTTTTGTCTATTCCGTCACCTGCTTCTGCTAAAAGGCTAGCTAGCCAGCTCTTCCTGCACATTCATGCGTCTGTCTTCCCGTATCCCCATCCCATCCCATCCACTCTACGTATTGACATCGAGCACTCAGACATCCAGCCCGGGATCTACGGAGAAGCTGTCTAATGTCTTGGCAAGAAAGCTTAGCACTGTCGAGTAATGCCCCGTTATTTCTGTGCTTGCAGTGCTTCCTATTGGCCACTTGCAGATGGGTGAAAGCGGGACGAGCTGGCAGGTACGTCATCCGTCAGTCAGGAGGTGAGGATTACCTATAGGTAGGTAACTGTATATCCCGTAGGTAGGCATACGGTGGCATACGGTTGATATAAGAGAATATTCCGGATGGGAATTTAGCTGTAGCATTGCGATAGAGTAGGGTAGGTAGGTACCGGTACACCCTCGACATACTACTAAGATCTATTTGAGACGGACCGGAATAGGGTTATATCCGGCGGATCCCATATCCGTACCGTATCTGTACCGTATCTGTAGGTATATCGAAAAGTGGGGGGCAGTTGCAGGATTTGGTGGAGAGGCACCATTATCAGCGACGGTCTCACTTCGGAACGATGGCTCCATAGTCGAATCTATCTAGGTACCTTACAACGAGGGCCAGTACTTTCGTTAGTAATGCTCCCAGACTACGAGGAGCGTGTCCTGTAGAGAGAGCAGAGAGTAAAGAGGAGGAAATTGCCCTGGAAACAAAAGTCTACTCAATATCGTCTATTTGCTGCAGCAGCGGGAAAAGGACCTATAATTACAGAAAGACGCCCGGATCATCCCATTCCTATGCAGAGAAACACCGGGAAGAGAAAACACGAGCTCGCCCTCCCTCACAAACAGCAAGGACGTCTAATGCTCCAGAAGAAAAGAGCCCCGAACGCAAGACTATCCCAGCCTAAAACAATGTGTTCTGCGAAATGTCTCGATCCCCATAGAGGTATAGGGAGAGACTGCCTCGCTTCTATCCATAAAGACTGTGCAAATGGATTTCCACCATCCATCCTGTGTGAAGACATCTAGTTGGTCTTGGCAATCTCGACACCTCCAGTGGCTCCCAATGCCTTCTTCAAGTCTCCGTAGATAGCGAATTGACCGGCCTAGAAGAAGAGTTAGTGGCAGACAACTAACAGATTTGAGAGTCGAGCTTACAGTGAGAGTTCCAACCATGAACAGACGAGCACCGATACCAGCGAAAGATCCCTTAAGGCCAATTTCCTTGTAGATCTTGATCAGACGGCTGGCGGTTCCCTCTCCGGGAAGACCCTTGGTCTTGTTGATTTTGCTCAACATGGTGTCAGCGGGTTGCGAGACGATGGCAGCAGCGAAACCAGCCATCAGACCGGATCCCAGGTTGACAGTGGTCTGGAATACATCGGAGGAGTTCTTCTTGTCAAAGAAGCCCCAGGCGAATTCGTTAACCTTCTCGAAGGCGACGAACTTGGTCATGGTGTATGGGACCCTGAAAATCATTAATACCGCAACATCATGTGGCGTATGAAAGAAGGGGTACTTACTGCTTGAACAGGATAGGGCCGAAACCAGCGTAGAAGGCGCCGACACCCTCGTTCTTCAGCATCTTTCCGAAACCACCAATGAGACCATTGGCGTATGTTGGCTCAGAGACGAGACGGATACGGGTGGCCTCGAGAGGGCAGAGGGCAACATCGGCGAAGAACTCTGCAATACCGGCAGAGACCAAGTACACGGCGGTGCGGTTGTTGGAGGCAGTCTCGTATCCGAGAACATCAATGGACTTTTGCTTGAAGAACTCATATCCTCCGAATTTAAGTGCGCCCTGGAGGAAGTAACCAGCAGCAGTTGGTCCGAAACCAGTTGCCAGAGCTCCCATGCCCTCCTTGGCAACCACCTGTCTGAATCCCCCAACGAGCCCCTTGTTGTATGTGGCGGGATCGAGTTGTATTCTTGTCTTGACGCTGTTGGGACCATAGGTCAGTGGAATCCTCTTCTCGCACGCAATAAAACTTTGCATCCTCTGTTGAGCGCAATTGCAGCGAAACTTACACATCCACTGGAGTCATTCCACCATGGGTGATAGAACAGCAGAGAGCGCCAGCCAAGGCGAATCTGGAGTAGAGTTGGACACCGCTCAGCTTCTCGGGGGTGTTGGCGGCGACCTTTTGAATGACGGCATCAACCTTGGTCGAGCCAGAGGAGGTAGGTGGCGCACTCATTGTATTATATGTATGTGAGAACGGAGGGGGATATTAGGAGAAGAAGTGAGTGGAGATAGGAAGATTCGATGTCTTCGACGTGGGAGGATGGTTCAATTGATAGATGTTGTGGTCTGGTGGTTGGTCGGGGGAGGAAGATTGGAGCTGAGGATGCATCTCGAAAATTTTGGGACTAGCGGAATTAGCCGGGTACAGCGGTCGTAGTTCTGGTGGGCCTCCCCCAAATTTAGTGTCCAGCACGTGTCGCCGCTGTTTGGGAGCGTCTACATTTGAAGCGAGAGGTCGTTAAGGAGAGTAAACAAACCAGGCAGATGGCAGGTTTGTGGAAGACGTGTCCATTCTCATCCAGGCAGGAACGCTCAAGTTAACAAGTCTCGTGGTCGTCGTCAACCTAACATCCTGGCTTCCCGAGGTGGGTATGGAATGTTCCCAACAACCTATAACCCACCTTTATCCGAGGTTATTGTGAGACACAGTGAGGCCTTTGTTGTCTAATATATTTTCTGTTTTAATTATCTGAAAGCGGTTTGCAGACGTTTTTAATCTGTCAGGAAATTCATGTAATTGTCATATCGTCAACCAGGATCTGAGGTGCATTTCTTATCTTGGTCGGCTCTAGTCCTATTATTTTCAGTTCTACAACTTATTAATAGGGAATAACTGATTTGTATTGCTTCTTCTATCGTTGATTGTGATCAGGTATCTGACGAGCTTTCGATTCCAGTTGTTTTGAATGCATATATTAAAAGCATAAACACGATATCAAAGCTCAATTGCATGCGGCAAATGCTCTTTTTATAACCAGTATTATAAAAACTTTTTCTTCATAGCCCCTTGAATAGTAACAACCATCCTGTTTGGATCTGTCCTAGGTTGACGGCCAGATTTATCATCAACTACTATTACGAGATAACTTTGGTGGTGCAAGGTTGTCATTGAGTCAGAATTCCTGAAAAATGCAAAAGAAGATCCTAAGCAGCAAGATATTCTTTAGTCTCATAGCTGAAGGCATCAATCATTCTCAAAACTTTCCTTGTAGACTGTCCTGGGGTCTAACTATTGTACGATATATATAACGACCGAAATTCCAGACACTTGAATGCAAAGATCTTGTATTCACCTTCTCATTTCTCTAAATCAAAACGCCCTGTCGATCACACATAAGGAAATAATTATGCCCGATATTGATAGAAGCGTATCATTAGTCTATGAGACTATGTCTGGTGTGTACAATAGATCATGATAGTATTTCTATATATGATTTAGCAGTTCTAGGCACATCTTTGGAAAGGTTGAAGATTTTGTTCAGCGATCTACGAAATGGATCACAAATCTCGGTACAAACGAACGCTGGAATTACATAGTACAACGACCTATACCATGATAGAAATCAAGATCCTAAGCCATGAGTACGAGCGGATAAGGTGAATTTGCAACCCTTATTAGATGCCTCTTCTGCACAAAGCTGTAGCTGTTTGAGATACTCGGCGTCTACGCAAACAGACCTTAAGCAAATATTTCATCGATATTTTGGGTAAAGCATGAAGGCACGCTCATCGAACGAACTGTGCAGTTATCGACTCCAATTATTCTTTTATATCCCTCTCTATAGACACCAAGAACTATACTTCAACACGGTAGATACTGTCGGACTCATATTCACTGCTTTCAAGGTTGAAAGTTCAATCTACGTTCGGCCCAAGTATATATAGAGTAAAATATATCAAAACTACTATGTGGCACCCATGCTGGAGCTGTTGATAGACCGGTATGTATACATTAATATTTGGATAACTCTCAGCCTATCTGGGGGGTATAGTTCTCCAGCGTCAGGCCAGAAGTAGTCGTTTTTCCCGGATGCAGCGCACTTCCCATATCTGCTCCTTTCCAGGGATTGGATACGAGATTAAATAGACGCGAAGTATCTACGACCGTCTATCATAGCGATTCTACAGTCAAATAGCCATCGCCCGTATCTCCCAAGCAATTTTATACCGCAAACAAGCATGCAAACAAATCACGAACATGCCAGGCCAAGCCAGAATATCAGAATCCACCCTCATCATCCACCCCGCAGCTGCAAAACATAATCACCAATGTGAGAATCTGATCTCTGATCCGATGACGTTCAGAAATATCATTATAGTGTGGAGCGTTGCTGTATATTTGCCACACAGAGTCATCACGCCAAGTCTCTCAAGTCTGTCAGCCCGGGAAGAGCAGTCTCGTTTGATGATTGCGAAAATTAGTAACGCAGCAATCTATTAAAAAGATTTCAGAGTTTTTGGTGTTCCATTCGCCCTTCGATCTGCTTGTATTTTCGTACTCCAACTGCGAGGTTCAAGAGAAAGGTAAGGTCCGGTGCCGGGCCCCGCTGAAGCGAATGCCCAGGGCGTAATTCTACTAGTGTCAATAATATACATTAAAGAACCGAGCCCGCCATCTAAGTACAATCCGGAATGGTGTAGTGGCTAGCATTTCTGCCTCTCAACAGATTGTCTCATCGATCGAGTGCGCAGGAGACCGGGGTTCAATTCCCCGTTCCGGAACATCTTCTTTTTGGTAATTCTTTCCTTAAAAGACATCACTGAATCGACGTGAAGTGATCTTCAACACAATCCGGTGTTTGACATTGCAGGTTGATCATTTTTCAAATGTGATAACGTTATGCGAAAAACATTCCCTATCAAAATTTTGCCCTTTGAAATTGCGCCCGGTGCAAAAATCTGGCCAACGCATAAAGAAGACACCGTGAAAATCCCAACTCACGCAACACAATTACGAGCTATCCGAATCCGTCTAGTTCGCGAACCAAGAAACTTCATATCGGGCCACAATACCCGAAGACGAAGGATGTTCTCTGTCAGCGAAAAAAATAATGAATAAGTGAGCGGCATTTTGGCGCTTTAATGCTGACGTACACGGGAATATAATCAGGAATCTGATAGCCCATGCTATGTCAAATCTCTTATGAAGTCGTAAATATCTTGCGCAGAGGCAACCTGCATTTTCCAGTTTTGTTCGATGAGGCTTTCTACAGGCCATATCCGAAACATCAGGAAACCTGCGGTCCCTATAGTTTTCTTCCACCTCATCCTCATGAAGCTCGAGAAAGGGGAGCCGGCCCGTCATTATGAAGTAGATGGTAGTGCCTAGCGCAAACAGATCATCTTGTACGGTCGATGGATCGCGCTAATTATGATTTAGGTATCACGAACCGTGGTCCGCTGTAAGCTGACGGCGTAGAGCTTGCAAGCGATGAGCCCTTAAAATCTGCAATCTTGAGACCTAGATGGGCATCACGCAGGAAGGTTTTAGGGTTGAATTCGCAGTGCAGAGGTTTCGCGTTGCGTCGTTGCGTTACCGTGACCGTGGCGTTTTGGAGGAGGAAGGCCTCTCTCTAGGTTGCTATGAGGCATGTATTCCATGGTAAGATAGCAGTCGGCGGGATTCCAAATCAATGATTCCAACCAGACGAGGGTGCGGGCCCAGTTTGTTGTATATCTCGTTTTCGATTGAAATGTCTCTGCAACTGTCGCTTGCATGTCGACCAGGCTAGGGCGATTTCATCACATTGCCAGAGGGCAAGAGTTCCAAGATCCCAGAACCCTCAGCCAACCACATGTATCCAAAGAAGGACTTTATCGGTAGCTAGCTTGTAGTTGCCCTCGCCCGCACCAAAGTCCTTATATAGGCAGCGGGTATTCAATAGCCAAGTACTTACTTTGCAATGAGAACCACTTCATACGGAATCCCCATGTTCTAAGCGAGAATCTGGAATGTCCCAAACGCACGCACAACATATATAGCTACCGGCTCATCTACATTCCGATATTTCCCCTCTTACCTCCTCTTTTATTCCGCTCAATATGACCCTGCAGCACCCGCTTCGTCTGTACCAAGCTCCTCTTCTGCTTATACTTCGCCTTGCCTAGAGTCATCATGAAATTCTTCTTCCGCGCTTTCTCCTTATTCGTCGAACTCTTGCCTTCTATATCTTTCTTCTGCCGCCTGAGAGCCTGGGTACTCTTGTGCTCGCCTCTCTCGCCCTTGCCTTCCCTCGCCAGGGCAATCATCTCCTCCTTCGTACTCTTGCGCAGCTTCGAGAATCCTTCGATTTGATCGGCTGTCAGAGCATCGTCCGCATGACGTGCGGCAATCTGCTTCAGTCGTTCGGCATGTGTCTTGTTCTTGCCCATAGCCTTGTCAAGGCCGGCCTCCAGGCGTAGCTCTTGCAGTTTCGCGAGATCGGCAGGGGTAAGAATCTTCGTCGTCGCAAGCTTCGAGATCTTCTTCTCAAGCACTTTCTCGGCATTATCCTTCTCCTCGTTTTCGGCAACCTTCTTGTCAAGCTTCTGTTTCTTCGGATTGGGGTTGTCGTCTTCGCTGTCGCTGATTTCAATCTCGACATCGCTTTCGACGTTGTTCCACCCGCCAGAATCATCACTATCATCGGACTCGGCATCCCAATTTTCCCATCCCTTGGCCTCTTCTTCTTCGTCATCGCTATCGTCTTCCTCGTCCGTCCCAAGTTCCGGTAGACCAGCCTCCTCGCGTTTGCGCTTCCTCTCGTTCCTCTTCCACTCTTCTAGAAGCTCGAGACCTTCGATACCACCAACTTCCTGCTCTCCAAATCTTCTCTCTGTGATCGAGCCGCTCTTGATGCCCATAGTAGCCTGCTTTCCTCTGTCTCTCTTTTTCAAGAGATCAGCACCAACCTCTCGGTACAACGACAAAAGTCCCTTCGCAGCCATCATTGTTCCCTTATCCTTGCTCTTCCTGTACATGACCAAATCCTGCAGAAGTGTATCGTTCATCGCTAGCGGTTGTCGGACACAGATTTCCCGGATGGCGTTCAATCCAGCGGATGCGACTTCCGACGCAGAGGCTTCAGACACGAACTCGTTGGCGATCTTCTGGACAAGAGGCTCCAGCGCATCGGGCGGTACTAAATCGTGCGTTGCTTGTGCCAAAGACGCCATGAAGGATGTGACGGACGGTTGTCGAGGGGTGAGGTATTTGATGAAATAGGAGTATAGAGAAATAACGGTCAATTTGTGCAGACCTACCAGTCGGCAAACAAGCTGTAGCACAAGTAGCTTCTGCTCCAGATTAAGCTTCGATTTCGAGTTCTGGAGATGCTTAGAGAAAAGGGTTTCGGCAAAGCCCTGCGGATCATGGAGGAGATGTAGAGCGGAGAAATTGAGGGGATGTGGCTGGTTCTTCTTCTTCTCGATCTTTTTGACCTTCTTCACAGCTTCCTCCAAGGACTTCTTCACTTTCCGGCTCTTCTTGTTGACGCCAGCCGAATGCTTCATCTTCCCAATGTCAATTGCCTTTTCGTCGTCGCTGCTGTCGTCCTCGAGCTGGTCTTCGCGCTCCTTGTCGCCTCCAAGGAAGAATCGAACACCGCCTCCAATTACCTTCGCATTTTCCGCCAGAGCAGCTTCCTTCATAATCTCGACAGCCTTCGAATCGGTCCATATTTGGCGCTTCCAAAGCTCTCTGGTAATCTTGACGGCCCAGATACCCTTCTGTGATGTGCGGTCAGATGTGAGGAGATTGTGAAGAGCGGTCTGAATCGTGCGATTGAGACGGTGGTTTGTGGATTTCGAGTTCGAGGTTCGCAGATCAGATATAATTCTCTGAAACAGCAGGGTACGCAGGGTTTTGCTGGGTGTGGAAACCAGAATGGGAAACAAGGTATTGAGAAGGTTAGATGAGTCGATGATGTCTTTCCGGCGCAACAAGACCAAGCTGCCAACGATCTTCTCCCGCAATTCGCTGTCGAGTTCTGCATGATGCAATGTGAGCATCTTTTTCAGATCTTCTGGAAATTCGGCAGTATCTTCGGGAAAACATTCTGCGACGTGGGCAATGAAGTCAATCAAGTCGTGGAACGAGACGATACCGCTGGAGAGGGCGCTCCTCGGAGAAACCAGGAAGATATCACGCTGGGATACATATTGTTCGAACTGATTCCTGAAATCGCTATGGTAGGATCTATATGGTCAGCACGGGTGCCAACCGCATTAGATTGTGAGCTGCTTACTTTGGATCTCTCTTGATTTTGTACTGGAGACTCGACCTAGGAGGATTAGTCGGAGGCGCATATGTTGAGTCTGGGTTACCAACAGATCAGCTTCCACCTTATCAAGTGCGCCTACTTTTCTCTTGACCATGGTGGGCAGTTGTGTTGGAGTTGCAGAGTAGGATGGTCCTTTTCCTTCTCTCAAGAAATATTTCTGCTATCGATAATAGTGGGCCTTGACGTCGCAACTTTTGGGGCCCTTCCCTAAAGTGGGCGAAAAAATTATGTCCCGCGAAAAAATTATGTCCCGCTTCAACGCCAAAAATCGCGGGGAACGTAGACACTTATATTGCGTATAACATTGCTCACAACGTTGCAATAATATATATATATATATATTTAATAATGTTATTCATTCTCAATTAAGCTACGAAAAAATTATTTCACCGCGTGTCCTTTGAATTGAATTAAGAGATGCTACAGATCGAATCGACATCGAATCTTCTTTCTCTTCAAGCTCTTTTTCAGGCTCTTCCCACCCAGTAAGCATCATTTTTGCTAAAGGAGACGAAGGTAAAGTATTTAATCTTTCATCTTCGTCGTCATCGCTAATTTGAATGCAAGATAATGGGTTTTGTCTGATTCGAAAGCGTTTTTCCTCTGTAAGGATTTAAGGATCGATTGAATACGAAGGGTCCGCGAATGTAGCAAGATCTCTTTCTTGAACTTCTTTTAACGCAGCTTCTTCGTTTGCAATTGCGTCTCGAAAAGAAATCAGATCAATATTATCAGCTTCTAATTCTTCTGCTGTAAGTTGCTTTTCGCGGTCTCGAATAGGGACTTCTCGTTCGGGTGGAATGTGTATAAGAATCCCTCGACCTTGTTGCTTATACGCTTCGTTCAACCATTTCTTTCGCTCTTTTTCGGCTTTCCGATCAAGAACTCCTTGATTATAACGATCGTTTCGAATTTTAATCGTTGCTGACTTGAGTTTAGCGTTCGCTATCTTAAGACTAGCTTCTTGCTTTTTTATCTCTATAGCCTTGACTTTTTCGAGTGCTTTAGAAGCTAGTATATTCCCTCCCGTTTGCAAACTCGACCTTCCAATCAGCTTTTTCCGATGTGTATCGCGCTGAAGCTTTTGATTTTTATCGAGTTCTGCTTGATCAAGGCTTCCTCGTAACAACCAAGTCTCGGTACCTTGTTTCGCGATATCGAAGCGTTAGCGGCTAGGAGAAGAAAGAGCTATTCTGATCTTATCGTTCAGATCGTCGAGTTGCTCTACGCAATCTTGAAAAGATTGAGGAGGTCGAGGTAGCGCAGGAAGAAGTAATTCGTCAGGTTGCTTATCGATTGAAAAAGAATATTCATCTTCTTCAAGATCAGACGTTTCTCCGTACTCGAGTATATGCAATCCCGCCTCTTTCTTACTCTTTTTACTATACTCTTTCAATTTGCGTTGAATTTGAGAAAAGCTGATCGGCCACATTCTTGCATCTCGAAAAGCGTGTTTGATATTCCGAGTTGTAAAGGTTTGCTCGCGAATTTGAAGAAGGTCTCGCATAAACGATGAGATAGTATATTCAGCTTCGAAGCCTCGAATAGCATCCATGATAGCACATTGTTGATTATGTTTCCAAGTGCGAAAGCAGCCGACATCGAGAGGTTGTAAAAGATGAGTTTGATGAGAAAGGAATTTGATAAGCTATATACGATTTTGTTTAGCTAGTAGAATGAAATTTGAAGCTTCGTGGCAAAGCTGACCATCAAGTAATAATATCATCCACGGTTTATCGGGTCCTTGATCGGTATGCTTAATAAAGTGCTTAAGCCACTCTATAGTAATCCTATCGTTCGTATAACCGGATTCGGAAACAGTGACAACTTCATGTCTAGTCATCTTTTCGGAAAACCAAGACGCTATAATTTGCTTTCCGGGCACAATAATCATTAGAGGAATAGCTTTTCCATCGGCAAGAATAGCTTCGATCACAGTTACGGATAGTCGATTTTCATAGATTCCTGTATACATCTCTTTGATTCCGATAGGTACGATAACTTCTTCTCCGGCCGGCATACAAATCCGCGCGCCTTTCTCATCCATATTTGCGATTCTATGCTTATCTTTAGGCCCAATTCCGCAGAACTGGATAGCAGGAACAAGCTCGGTATGGAACCAGTTAGAAAGAGATTTCTCGGTATGCATATCGACGCGATGAGATGCGATTGGTTTGGTCCGTATAGCATGGAGTTCTGCCGTATTTCTCAACTAAGATTGAAACCAACGCTAAGAAGGTTCTGGCTTATTTTCTTGTATTTTAAGGTAGCAAATGCATCGATAAAGCATACGCTTAGTAGCTCCTTTCCCTCCTTTAGTTGCTTGATCTGCGGCGTAGATCAAAACAGCTTTGTGCTGTGCTGCTAATAAAACCATAGGCCTCCCTACTTGTAGCGCTTTCCCCTCTTTCAATCGAGCTTGTTTAGCTTGATACTTATTCCATCTTCGCTTTAAAGTATCAGGCTTCTCTATCATATGAATGCGACTCGCAGTAAGAGGTGTTTCGGAAGGGTTTTCGAAGAGCCATTCGAATGCTAGCTGTATTCGCTCATGTTGAGAAGCTTTTAAGAGCTTCTGGTATTCAGAATTAAGATCAGGAGGTGCAGGAGCGCGCGCGCGTTTTTTGCCCATTTTTATTTGGGTACGTAGGTCAATGTTTGATGGAAAATGTTGTGTTGAAGTGTTGTTGAAGTGTTTACGTTCCCCGCGATTTTTAGCGTTGAAGCGGGACATAATTTTTTCGCGGGACATAATTTTTTCGCCCACTTTAGGGAAGGGCCCCAAAAGTTGCGACGTCAAGGCCCACTATTAATCCCTAGCGCCTTAAGCTAGGTACCCCTGCTAGTTTATGTCATCACGTGTTTCTGAGAAAAGCTGCAGGATCTCTCCCCGGCACCCCGCGTGCAAGCTTCATAGTCAAAACCACTTCGCTAGAATTGCAGCAATGCAAGAGTGTACAATTCAGCAACATATACCCTTTCGGCCCTGCTCTCGAAGTCCCTTCAACTCAATTGACCCAAATACCTCAGCAAACAAATCCCTCGTACCCGCCGGGTGCATTTCTCGGCAAGTCAGACGCGTCGGGCAACTTGCTGAATGTTTCGTGCCCATTCATCGACGTATATCGAGCCCATGAAAGCGCCGATGCACCAATCTGAACAACGCTGCTATCGTAATCGATCTGCAAATTTCCTCCTTCGAAATATCAAACACATGCTCGAACTGAGGAATAGCAGATCGCTACGGTACTTTTTGTCGGTCGGGTTCGTTTCGAGGTCGTTCGTTCCAGGGACCAGGTGTGTCGACGATGCAACGTGAGAAGGGCGGCTCGTCTCTATTATTGCCATACATATACGTTCAAATCGTGCACTTTCCTCGCTTGAGAAATTCTTCGGCAGTGGATCTGCGGCTTCCCGAATTCAACTGATGAGAGCTTATAGTCAGGCTCGAATGCGTTCACGTCTCACAAGGCCTGATAGACAACCAACTTTGGCAATAGGCCAGACGTTCCGCACTATCGGAGTACCGTAGATGCCGAAGCGGAGCGTCATTGGTGTCTTGTAGAAAGAGATGCCGCGAGGTTTTGAAGCGGATCTGGGCCCAAAATGGCGAGGTCAACTCCTACTTTTATCTGCTAGGCTCATTTATGGTAGGCGTGCTGGTGGGTCCTGGTCGATTGTGCATATTGATTCCCGCCTCATGCATCGCAAGGGTAATTAATATGTCTGTCCTGTACGTTCAGTAGCCAGGCCTTCTCAGAGTACGGACGAGTTGCATTCCGTAGAGGACCCATCGGTCCTCGTCTGAAAAGGCAATAAAGAGATTTGTTTGACGTCTCGCTTATCATGCTACTGTATAGTCAATACATATATATTCATTGCTTTTCCTAACATAAGCAATGACCTACAACATAAGGTAGATTACATAGTAACCCTTTATTAGACTACGATGGTTTTCAATCTCAATCTGCTCAAAGCAACTGGTCTCTTTATATCGATAAAGTCGATGTTAGTCTTATTTATTACTTATATGTTTCGCTTGTTACGAATCATAGCAGAGACGATGTAAAAGACGGGGAGGAGAAGGCTGGATGCATTGCTGGCATCTGTAGCGGGCCGGGGGTGTAATGCACGTAGATAGATGGCTTGATTGAAACATAGCACGCCACAAATAACAGGATGCTGCACAACGTGAGCCTTATAGGGAGGGATATGATATTAGATAATTGGAGATCCTCACCCATCGGCTATAACAGCCTTACTTTCTAACCCAAGCTTCTCGATCTCCTCGCTCGATGACGTTATGCATGGCTTATAGGATAGCCTCTGCTTACTTAGGTTCTCTTTTCGTGCCTCTGCCTTCCATGATACACTCATCGGTGCCGGTCACAGCAGTTTTCATTATTCGTACTGAATCGTGGCTCCATAGGCGGGGTCTGGCGGCCGCAAGACGCTGAGACACCGAGATGCGTAACCAAAAACGTCTCGGTTGACGACAGATCCAAACGCGAATAAAACTCTGCAGGTAGTTCTTCGGGAGGGTAGGTAAGTGGAAAGGTATAGAGTTCCCCGTGACTGGTAGCTAGGTCCCTTACTCCCGGTGGCTTGAGAGCTCCGTACGTCGGTGAGCCTGTTGATGCGGTCATCCGTGTTAACGCAATGAGTGGTAGCTGGCGTGCGCTGGCTGCTTGCGATCAATCGGGCAGCAAGCAAACGAGCAAGCAAATCAAACGAAAAAACAAGCAAACATACAAACAAACGGTCAAAAAATAAAAGGTACTACCTCGTGTCATGAATCTCCTGATCCTTTGTCTACGGGATGATCAAGGTCTAGATCAAGATCACACTCACTCTGGTATTTTTTTTCTTTCTTTTCCCTTTCCTGTATTGCACTTGTCACTCGATTCCAGTACCGGTACCTCCCTACTTGATACTTTACATCTTTTTTCCTTATATCTTTGTATCTTTACTTCGTACGGAGCCCTCAGCCCTGCCTTCCCCACTCTGAATCCTCCTCTCATGTCCCCATGCACGTGCCCGTGCACGTGCCAGCGAGTCATTCTCGTGTCGACGTCTTGCCTTCCCTAGCGTTCTCCCTCTCCTTTGCTCTCCCTCTCCTCTAGGGAATATACCTTCGACCAACAACAAACAACCCCCCCTCAAGCTTCATCTTGGAATTTGCTGAAGTATCTGTGAGTTCGCGTCCTTTTCCTCCTCTTCCGGGCCAACCAACGCATGCACATCGCTGCATGCTGCTTCTCTTTTTTCTTACCGCCATTTCCAAACCACCCTTCCCCCCCTACCCCCTCCTCCCCACCAGCTCCCACCTCTTCTATACCTCTCATCTTCGTCTTACCACCAGGTGCATGATGGTTGACCTGAGGACGCAAGATCTGTTGTATACTTTAACTTGGTACCCCTCCGCATACTTCTCTGCTAAACAAGCAAACAGTTCTGCTACCTCGCTGGACTCCAGGTAGGACTCTAGTCTACCAACAACGGTAGATATCGTCAAGAATTCTACAGAAGCGCGCAGCTGTAAGACTCCTGCTATCTCTTCTCTCCATTCTTCTCTCTCGTCCGCTTCCCATCCAACCTCTGCGCTTGGCAGAGCTTGTTCTTGTTTCCTAAAAATTTACACACACTCATCCCCTCCTTTCCTAATAAAATCAACAACAACAACAACACCAACACTAAAAACAGCCATATGAACCAAGCTCAGTTCCCTTGCACTTGTTCTTCAACATATTTTTTCTTCACTTCTTCCATCTCTGTATCTCCCCCCTTACCCCCAACTTTCTCAACCAGGTACACGCAACCTCATGAGTCGGCATCCATTTCACGGCTAGAAACGTGACTAACAAGCATACTCTACATGGTAGCTCACCAGCAGATCGATCTCCACCAATAATTTCTCTCCCGACACATTGTGTGGAAGAGCCTACCCAGGTCTTGCGCATTCTCGAAATCAGGACATATCCTGCATTCACTTTGATCGCGTAGGCGTCAATACAGCACACATACAAGTCAATCCGACTCTGTTCACCCGGTCCTGCTCGACATACCCCACTGTACCCTTAGGTCTACCTTTATCTAAAAATGTCCGGAAGAGGCGGCGGTCGGGGTGATAGGGGCGGAGGTAGGGGCGGAGGCGGCGGATATCGGGGCGATAGGGGCGGAGGCGGCGGATTTCGGGGTGATAGGGGCGGAGGTAGGGGCGGAGGCGGCGGATATCGGGGTGATAGCGGTGGAGGTGGCAGAGGTGGCGGTGGCGGGTATCGGGGTGATGGCGGAGGTAGAGGCGGAGGAGGTCAAGGGGGCTATAGAAAGCAGGATAAGCCGGTTGTTGTTTACAAGTAAGTATCTCGAGCTTTCATACCCATTACAGACGACGACTTCTAACTTTTCAGGGACCCAACCAAGCAACCCAATGAACCCCCTCCCCCCGCTGATGCTCAAACGCTCGCCATTGAGACTGCTTACATGGACAAGTCGAAGAGTCTCAGTGGGGCAATGGCCAGTACATCACTGACCAAGCAAATGCCCAATCGGCCAGGCTTTGGTACACTTGGTAAGAAGATTACCGTATACGCCAATTACTTCAAGGTCATTGCCCCAGCCAACCTGAGTTTGACTCGGTATAATGTCGAAGTGGCCCCTGCCACTACCGGCAGAAAGCTGGCAAGAATCTTCCAGCTCCTTCTTGAGCAGCCCGAGTTCACTGGTCTTGCGACCGAGTGGAAATCCATGATTATCTCGCCACGGGTACTGGATATCCCCGATGGCTTTACGGTTCAGATTCCATACTTGGCAGAGGGCCAGGATGAGCCCCTCGAGCGGGCCATTACCTACACTGTGAGAGTAATCACGCCACTCACGTTTTCTGTCTCCGACCTCTGCAGCTACCTCGCTTCCCCAAACCCAGGTCCAACTTATGCTCAAAAGGCTGAGATCATCCAAGTCATGAATGCTGTCTTTGGCAGCCACCCACAGTCGCGCAGCGCCGTCACTTCGATCGGCCAAAACCGACACTTCTCGATCGACCGTAGCCAGGCGAATGCTCACAACATCCGGTCTCTCGGTGGCGGCCTCGAATCCCTTCGTGGCTACTTTCTAAGTGTACGCCCCGGAACCGGTGGCTTGCTCTTGAATGTCAACGTCACAAACGGTGTCTTTATTGAGCCAGTCCGCCTAGATGTGCTCTTTGCAAAGTTCGGCACTGGGAACAAGAAAAGTCTAAACAGTAAACTCAGGTATCTCCGAGTTGAACAGACCCATCTTCCAACCAAGAAGAACAAGAAGGGTGAGGTTATCCCAAAGATAAAGAGCATCACCGGCTTGGCCTATCCCCGTGATGGCTCAAAGTTGGACCACCCACCAAAAGTTGAATTTGATGGTGCTGGGCCGAAGAACGTGAGTTTCTGGATCTCTGATGACGGCCCCCCAACGGGTGCGGATGCCAAACCACCTGGAAAGGGAAAGAAGGTCGGTGGCCCACAAGCTGGACCTAAGCTTCCAACCAATCAGTTAATCACGGTCCACAAGTATTTTCAGATCAGTAAGTCCCCGTTCCAGGTGAAGCCCCAGTCCCTAATCCCGATTCCTAGAGTATCCGGGGTTGCAGCTCAATGAGCGTCTCCCGGTTGTCAACGTTGGCAGCAAAGAGAACCCGAGCTATCTTCCCGCCGAAGTCTGCCTTGTCCTCCCCGGCCAAACCATCGGGCGTCGTTTGAGCCCTATTCAAACCAGCGAGATGATCAAATTCGCCTGCCGACAGCCATGGGAAAACGCGAATTCTGTCACCAGTGATGGAAGGGCCATGCTTGGACTAAACGCCAATTCCAATTCCATTTCTGTAAGTTACGCGTTCACGGAATTTGAAATCGTTTCTAACATCGTACCAGGGATCTCTTGGCTTGCAAGTTGGTTCTAGTCTCGTCACTGTCAATGCTCGCGTACTGCCTCCACCTCAAGTCAAGTACAAGGACCCTAGAGGTCAGACGATCAACGTCAACATCAACAAGGGTAGATGGAACATGGCAAATGTCCGCTTTCAAAAGGCCGCCCCGATTGGTACTTGGACCTACATGATAATTAAATCCGACAGAAGATGTCCCAAAGTCGACGATGATCAGATCAAGGCCACCGTCGATGATTTTAAAGACTTTCTTCGCAGATCTGGCATCGACCCCAGTGGCTTCCTCGGCAATTATCGACCTTCGAGCGTGGATCTCCGCGATGGAGAGGAGGGTGCAAACGAGGCCAAGATCAAGATCAAGTTCCGTGAGCTTTATGAGTTAAAAGACCGACCAAATTTCGTTCTTGTCATTCTTCCCTATGAGGACAACCCTATCTACGGCAGTATCAAGAGGATCGCCGACACTAAGGCTGGAATTCACACTATCTGTGTCGTCTCCACCAAGTTTGCGAAGGGTGGGCGTGGGCAGGATCAGTACTTCGGTAACATATCCTTGAAGTTCAACATGAAGGCTGGTGGCATCAATCATACCGTCGAGCCCGCTAAGCTTGGAGTCATCAGCGAAGGCAAGACGATGGTCGTCGGTCTTGATGTCACACATCCATCACCTGGCTCAAGGGAAACCGCTCCCAGTGTCGCTGGCATTGTTGCTAGCGTTGACAAGTGGCTCGGCCAATGGCCATCCGACTTCTCGATCCAGGCTTCGAGGCAGGAGATGGTGTCCGGCTTGGAGAGTCTGATGATGTCCCGATTAGACATCTGGCAAAAGATCAATAAGCAACTCCCGGAAAACATCATTATATACCGTGATGGTGTCTCCGAGGGTCAGTACCAGTTGGTTCTTGACGACGAGTTGCCTCTCATCCGCAATGCCTGTCGCCAAAAGTACCCTGCCACGGCAACGAAACAGGGTTTCCCCCGTATTTCGATCATCGTCTGCGGTAAGAGACACCACACTCGTTTCTACCCCAACGCCATAGGCAACGCCGATGACACTTCCAACTGTGAAGCCGGTACAGTTGTTGATCGTGGAGTGACCGAGGCCCGAAACTGGGACTTTTACCTCCAATCTCACAGCTGCATACAGGGTAGCGCACGTTCTGCCCACTACTACGTGATCCTGGACGAGATCTTCCGCTACCTCAAGCAGAAACCAGGCCAGACCGCTGCCGATGCCCTAGAGGAGCTCACGCACAACATGTCCCATCTCTTCGGTCGTGCAACCAGGTCCGTCAGTCTCTGCCCCCCCGCCTTCTACGCAGACTTGCTGTGCACTCGGATGAGAATCTACCTCGCCGAGCATTTCGAACCCTCCGATAACCAAGCCCCCGGAGCTGTTACTACTGCTGCTACAACTCCCATCATTCCTGTCAGTATGAAAGACAGCATGTTCTACATCTAAAGCACTGTGTTGCGGTGAAGGTGGGTATCTATTCAATTAGGCTGGATCTCCGTGTTGCCTTTGGCTAGCGATTTATGATTCTTTGAAGGTCAACATTCGTGGGCTGTTGCGAGAGCGGATGATTTATCATTCTTCGAGAGTCGGTCTCTTATTGTTCGAGGATTGGTTTAAGCGAGCTATTGCGAGACCGAATTTGAATATTTCACTCTCTGACGGCATGGGCCGGTGGTCCATAGAGTTTGTCAAGCACTGGGACTTGGGTGCGATGTGCATATTTCCCTCTGCAGCCGTCTTTATCACAACATGAAGGCGGGAAACGGGCAATACCACAGCTTTAAATCAAAATGAGATGAGAATTTGCAATTTTTGTTCTTTGTGCATTTTAAGACTCCGGGTTGACACTTTCCAGTTTTCCGGATCCCCAAACTTTCTGACCGTATATCCAATACATAGCATATCAAAACACTGCGCTAATAGGCAATAACAATAGACTTCAAATGTTTAGTGACGTCGAAATATACGTAGGTAGATACCTATCAAAAGCGTTTCCCACGCCAGCCCCTAGATACGCTTAGCCTCCCTTGATGATAGAATCTTCAAAGGCACATAGGAGGGCATTTAAACGGTCAGCTGACCTTCCTGGAACGCACCCCCCCCCAGCCCCCTATTTTTTAAGACGGTCGGGACGGTCTCGAGAGAGGGTTGGTTAAGGTAGCTAGCATAGTTCTTAAATTACCTGTAAAAATAATCGGTGCCGCCGTAAGATCAGAACCTAGGTAGGTAGGTTTCGCATCATCAAACCAAACGCTTGAAACTAGATTTAAATCGTAACTCGAATGGGAAGTCCTTTTTTAGATTGATTTTTTTGAATCCGTCGTTTGTGTGAGAGGCTGGTTTTCGTCTTTGTTTCTTTTTTTTTTCTTTTTTTTTTTTTTTCGTTTAGAACGATGACTATGGAGGGAGGATGTTGGGAGCGTTTTGTGGCTTTGAGGGGTCCGGCCCCCCCCGTCTTGAGGCTAGGTAGGTAGGTAGGTGTATGCGAAGGGTTGTGTTAGGTGGTGAGCGAATGGGTATTGCGTAATGGAGATGATATATATAAGGTACCTATATATATATATTTTCCGGGCGGTAGATTCGTACGGTACTTGCAGGCAGGCGTAGCTTGAACTTAATAGTCGACGCCCGCTTTAGGAAAATAAAGGGGAGGAAATCGTCTCACGGTACGGGACTGGATCACAATCTTCGATAAGGAGGGGGAGGTTAGCCTCTGAACAGCCTCTGAAAGGAGATATCACGTCGTTCTACAATGTTATCAGACCCATCTCGCCCAAATCGTTTTCTTGGCGGGTCCCTGGGGTTAAGCGAGACGCTACTACAACAACGCGCCCTTGAGAGACCCCTTGCTCCTGGCCCCAAAAACCAATTGTTGGGCATGAGACAGCGACACGCGGAGGATTTCCCGAATGGGATACTTGTTTCCCGGCTTGGTTGACGAGGAATGGATCCGAAGATGAGATATGTTCAAGTGATTCCGCCTCTCATCTCCCTTCGCCTCTTTTCCTCTTTTTCAGCAAGCAAGAAATTTACATCACTTGATGTGTCTTCCCAAACACCATCTCCAACCCAAAATTTGAATTTGAGAGCGCGAAAAAGCCCCTCATCATGCAGCTTTCCATCCCGCTCCTCCTCGTCCTCGCAGGCACCGGCAACGCCTGCATGAAATTCAAAGGCGTCGTCCCCTTCGCCGAGACGGCCCCCTTCGAAGCAAGCATCACCGACAACGGCGTGACCACCTGCTGGATCAGCACCACCTACGCCGAGCACGCCGCGGCCCAGGAAGCTTCCAGGCCCTTGCGAATCTCCAAGCGCTCCAGCCACCGCAAGATCTCGCTGTCGACCATGCCAGCCCTCTCTGCGGACTCCCGCCCGGCCTACTTTTCCTCCCCGTATACCTCGCCCCAGACCCCGGCGTCGAGCGGAGAGAAGGAGGTGGATCTGAACGCCGTGCCCCCGCCGCGGGGCGGGCGCCTCCCCGAGACGCAGAAGTACCCGGAGGAGGCCTGGGAGGACTGGACGGTGTGGCAGCCGTGGAACTTCGAGTGCATCCCGGGCTACAAGGCGCGGGCGAACGTGGGCCTGCGTAGTTTCGTGTACGTCGTGCACGGGCAGCAGTATTTCTTCGTGCCGGACTTGCGGGAGGATGTGGCGGGGGAGAAGTGGGAATATTCCTTGAGGCTTTGGTGTGGGGAGAGTGATAAGAGGGGGAAGCTGGTTGCGATGCCGAAGCCGAAGCCGAATGGGGCTAAGGCTGAGGGAGAGCAGGCCAAGGGTGGTAAGGCCGAGGGAGAGCAGGCCAAGGGAGGGAAGGCCGGGGGAGCGAAGACGGAGGAGAAGAAAAAACAGGAGGGGGTTGCCGCAGTGCTGAACAAGGTCGCGGCGAACCGGGAGGGGACGGGGGCTGGGGTGAAGAGCGCTGGGGGAGGGGACGTGGGGAAGACTAGCGTCTCTGTTGCTGCTGGCGATGTTGATGGGAAGGCAACGAGCGGACGAGCGAGTGCTGCTGGAGGCGGGTCGGAACGTCCCGTTGCCGTTGCCGTTGCTAAGGCTGGAGACGCGAAGGGCCCGAGGACTGCCCAGAAGTCCAGTCAAGCTATCGGTCAGGACTCTGGTCAAGCCGTTGGCAAGGGTCCCGCTCCGAGCCGCAGCGGCGAGGTGAAGAGCAGTGTCGCTCTGAACGACGATGGAAAGGGCTCGACTGTCCAGGGTCAAAGGAATCCCGCGAAGTACGGGCTGTAGGACGGAAGCGAAAGGGCTTTAGAGATCAATGGGTGCAACGAGCGGATCTCAGAACATACCATGATTGTTTCGGAGGCATTTCCTGTTTTGTTACTGTACCCTTCTCAGCCCCGTCCATCCATCAAACATCCACGACCTGCAAACAGTAAGTGTGTAGCGAGGAGTCAACATATGTGTGAGATTTTTCGGGTCTCGCACTTCATTCTATTCATACGATCATCCTCTGTTCATGTCAGGCAGGATCACTTTGCACCTATCTGTCCGTCTTAAGTCATCCGTGGGAAATATATCCCGAGGATTTACATTGTGATAATGATAATAGCGATCTAGACCTAGACCAACCAACTCTCCCTATCGCCTATTGCTCACGCCTACCCAAGCGAGCCGTCTGCAAGAGCTGTCCGGCTCACGGGCACAAGTATGTTTGCTTTCTTAAGCGAGACGCCGAATGCTATCGTTGACAGGGTGTGTGTTTTCGCAAGTGATATTCTAGGAGGGGTTAAAGGAGCGGAAGCGGAATCAGTGACGGTACCGAGAGGACAGGGCTGGGAGGAGTGGATTCGGGAGAGGTTTGAGTAGAGGAGTGCTGGACTTTAGGATGAGGGTGGGCGGGGAGAATGGTTGTCATATCGGACTGGATAAGCGAGAGATGGAATGCCGAATGTTATATTCTATTATATTCTGTTCTGTGCTGAATAGGTAGATGGATGCGATCGATACACTTACAGAAGGAGGCTCAGAGCTTCACTCCTGGCATCGTTTCTATGCAAGCCCTTCTTTTGAGATGTGGGTGGAAGGTGTGATATAGACGCGATTGCTCGTCAAGACTTGAGAGTTTTGCCGACCTCCTAGATAGGGCTGCACAGGTAGCGAAAGACATACATACAAACATCCTTACATGAAAGAATATGCATTCTGATCAGCTGAGTTGGTACCTAGGTATTGGCTGCCACGAAACAACCCGGGCCATTCCCGCATAGCTCCACGTCTTCGCGCGAACCATGTCATAGACTCACTCATGATCCCTACCTACTTGTGCCACGTATCGGGGTCGGACGGTCGGTAGGATCCTGCGTCGGCGGGATTAGTACTCCCCTGGATCTGGTTCTGCGCCTGACATTGGCTCGAACACTGACTCGCCCCAGCCCCAAGAGCAACTGTGGAAGTGAGGATGACGGTGAGAGAGGTGACCATGCCTACATCATATACCTATACCAGCTCCTCGTCTCCCCAAGAACCCCAAGATGCTGCGGAAGGGACGAAGTTGAATACAAACGCAATCAATCCGGGTATCCAGTCAGAGTGTAATCCACCGCCCCCAGAGTCTCGTGGTTAACAGTCCAAGAAGTATGAGTTAGTTAGTTCCCTTCATCAGAATATTCCGATGTCACAACCCCATTCCTTCCTTTTGCATCTTTCCCAGCAGACACCGTTGATAGTGACCACATACACACTTGCCAGTCACCTCCCTCATGCTTCTTGGCCACATCGGCACCTAGAAACAGAACAGAACCGCAGACAAGGAGGGAAAGCAAACAGAAAAGCACAGCGGTTGCCGAGAGATGCAGAAAAGGATAGATAGCTGGTGACTTACGTTTTCTGTCAACAAGTGGTATAACTCCTACCTTTATATGTATATATATATATATATATATATATATATAGAAAATATACACACACAGAGATACCAACATTCCACGAATGTCTCGCCGTGCAAAACGAGCGAGATCTGGACCACATGGAGCATAACGTAGGCTCGAATCTCGACTTCCTCGAAGCCTGGGTCCGCTTGGCGGCCGAGACGTGTGGAAGGCAGGGCCTTTCTCACACCAGGATCTTCACGGTCGGTCCGTCGTGGGCTCCGTCAGAAGAATAATCGTAGGTACATATACGGGCTCAAGATTCCCAGCGCCCGCCTCCTGCAGTACTTAGAAGAGTGTGCCCCACCTCGAGGGGGAACGAAGGAGCTGCGTGAAGGTCATGCATCGGGTGTGGTGAAAGAAAGAGAGCGGCTTGAGAGCATCCATCTACTTACGAACGTCCTCCTTCATATTCGGATTCCTGTGTCCCCCATCTCAACCCTCTCTATCCATCGCACCGCTCTTACTTACTTACTTACTTACTTACTTACTTACTTACTTACTTACTTACTCACTCACTCACTCACTCACTCACTCACTCACAACCAAAAGAAAGAAAATGAGCAAAAAGGCAAAAGGGGGAGAATGCAAGAGGAGAAGGAGAAGGAGAAGGAGGGAGGGGGGGGGGGGGATTAACATCTCAAGCAAAGTCGTGAAGGTAAAATAAAGTTGGGTAGAACCTCAACAAAGTATTAAAAAAAAAGAGAGAAAAAAAAGGTGTTTGGTGTATTCGCTATTCGCTATTCGCTGTTCGCTATTCGCGCTATTCGCGATCCCGCTCACCGCGCGCTCGTCACACGAGGTAGGTTGATAAGGTATCTATGGTATGTATCGACGACTACCAGAATTTCTCCCCCTCTCCCCCAGCAGACTCAAAGCCAAGTCACGCTCACAAAATAGGTATCCTTCGCAAAGCTCCCCCATGTTACGCCAGTGAACAAAAGAAAGAAAAAAGTAGCCCCCGCTCAGTGACAGAGAATCAGACAGAAAGAATGAAGCCCCAAGCAAGCTCCCAAGCAACGCCGCGCCCACCAGCTCAAAGCCGGGAGCCTGGTTCTGTATCCTCATACAGTCCACTCCTTTTTCCCCCCTCCCTACTGCCAAGATATTCGGCGATTTTGATGTATCTTATAACGAATTTTTTTTTAATTTTGTGTCGTAACGCCTGTTTTGAGAGGAGAGCGTGGAGCGGAGAAGGTACCCAGTTCAGAAGAAGACAAGGGGGAGAAGAGTGCAGTCTCACACGACCCTCTCGATCAAGAATCCGTGCATGTTGTGAAAATCGCATGTTTGATCCGTCAAATACACCTGCCCTGCCGGCAGAACCGGTATACAGAGAGCCACCAAAGACCTGTAACAGCTCAATCAATCTTTGCGGCAGCCAAGCTATTGACGTTCGGGTTAGCGAGGTTGTTGGCAAGGCGCATAGCGGGACGCTTGTATTTGTTGTGTTTCTTCAGGCGTTTCCGTGCGACCATGACCGGAACGGAGGATTTGGTAACGAGGTAGTTCGAGAAGGAGCCAAGGATGACACTATTCACTTGTCAGCTAGTGCTGTGCCGGAGGAGGGAAAACATACCCTTTGAGTTGACTCTGTCCCCGACTTCCCAAGATCACCATGGTGGGTTGTAAGTAGTCAATGACTTCAGTGATGAGATGCTTCGGGCTCTTGCAGTGGACGACTTCGATAACGACCTTGACCTGGAGTTTCGTCTTCCGGAGCAGCCTGGAGACTCGTTCTGTGATGTCATCTACAGCTCTTTGCCGTTCTAGCTCAGGTTTTGACTTTTCCCGGCCGGGGGGACATACGCCAGCGCCGTGGGTATTCGCTGCGGAGCCTGGTCCCAGTGGACTGGAAATTTTAGTCGGAGTGAGTATTGGAGTAGAAACCGAAAGCTTGGTTGGCCCATCGACGGTGGCAGCCTGCTCCTTGAGCCTCGCTTCTTCTGGACTGCCGTCGACGGCGGAAATGCCAACCTCTTCGTCCACGCAATAGATGGCGAGGAGTGTATCGCCGTCTCGCAGAACTGTCCCGACTGTCCATTCCAGAGCGTGGGCAGCTTCGTCGCTGAGATCTGTAGCAACCAGGTACTTCCGGACTCGACGTGGGTGGTCGTCGCCTTCCTGCTGCATCTTTGCGAAATCTCCCCGATATATCGTACGAACACTGCGGCCACTGGCAGGTGTCGACTGGACGGCCGTCATGTTGACGGAGAGCTTCTGAGCACGCTTGATATCGGTGAAGTCCTGTTCGATATCAGAATCGACTGGCGTGTTCAACCCTGATGCCCCCTCGTCGAAACTTGTCCAAGGATGTACGCTGTTCTGTCTGTTGGATCTCACGGATCGTTCTCCGGCCGGGTTCGTTACGGTGATTTCGGGATCGAGGAGCGAGCCTACTTTGTACTGCTCGACATGATTGGCAGCAACTTGCTCTCCTGTACAGTGTGTCAGTGAAATCACTTGAGGAGCAGATATGCGATACGTACGTTCTTCCTCTGCGGCAGCCATTTGGCTTTGAGGTTGTCTCCCAACCTTCGCTCTGCGCAGACCAACTGGCCCTTCTGAATTTGCCCGTTCCTGCCGTCTCTCATTTCGCCTCCTGCCCCTCTGCTGATCGTCATCGGACACACTGCGTCCACCATCCTCCTCACTGCTATCCATTACCACATCCTCTCCATCGATGGTTCTGTAGTCCTTCTGGAGTCTAAGATTCTTTCCGCAGGCTGCACCCACACTACTAGCCCGTCCACGCTGCTGCTTCTTCTCCCCCAGAGTCGATAGCCCACCACCCGAGATAGCAAGACTAGCGTCCGACAGCCTTCGATATGCGTGTTTCATGTCGAAGACCCTCCCGTCCTTCAGCTTGAACATGGAATTCTCCGGGCCGAAACTACCCGCGTGCGGAGAGCTGTTTCGCAGAATCGATCGGCCAGCGGGGGATTTGGACTTCATGGTCTTGATGGTGCTGTATCCCGCCAAAGAAATCGAATTGTTCCGACCTCGGTCTGTGGGATCTCCAAACAAGCTCATGGTTCCCCCTCTGACCGCCTCTGCCATGGCAGAAGCTTTCCTCCCTGCCAGGGTGTTTCGCTTGGGGGCTACGGGCCCACCAGGATTGCTTGGCAGGTATCCTGAGAATTGGTATGCAGATTCGAGATTTCGGTCTCTAGAAGACGCCCGATGGCTAAAAGATGCTGGCCTCGTGGCTGCGTCCGAAAAACTCCTCTTATGGCGGCCGTGCTTGTCCATCGGCACCCGATGGAAATTACCCTCTGTCGGAGATGACGCTGCGCTCCTTGTCGACGACGAATGCCTCTTCACAGCTTCATGACCTATGTAGCTCGTGCTGTAACCGTTTCCCGTGCCGAGCGTGCTCCGGATTGGCTCGCCAGTGAGAGGTGAAAGATCTAGCATACTCCGAATCGCCTGCGAGCTTGGTGGGCGCGAACCAGTGGTCTCTCCATTCAGCGGTTCCTTTCTAGGGGCCCAATCTTCATCGTCGATATCGAGCAGGCTGCGTACGCGAATCGTCTGGGTCCGAATCTTCTGCGAGCTCTGCGAGCTCTGTCTGCAAGCTTTGCGCGCCCGAAGCACTGGTCTCTCCGTTCGGTGATTCCTTCCTGGGGGCCCAATCTTCATCGTCGATATCGAGCATGCTGCGTACGCGAACCATCTGTCTCTTGGAGGATTTTCGCCGGGGCGTCGTTGCTTTGCCACTCCCAATCGTCCCAGTCGGCGAGTCTTTCCTCGGCGCCCAATCCTCGTCGTCGAGATCCAGCATATTGCGTTGAGGTGATAGTGGCGCTATGAAAGGGGAAGCAGCTCGCCTCAGTGCCAGAGAGCTGGCAGAACCTTTATGGCGAGGTGTTGTGGTCGCTGCAGATGGAGTGGCTTCCAACATGGCTAGTATATCTTTCCTCTCTTCATCCAGCGCAGCCTCCAGCGACAAGAGTTTATTGGCCATGTCTGCAACAGTTGCGACCCTTGGCGCCGAGGTAGCTCTGAGGGTCTCCAGGAACCTTTACCACCGCCGTAACTCGGTCGCCAAGAGAGGTTTTCGTTGTAGGCAAGAGGTATGAGGGGGCGTGTGTTGAGTTCCGGCAAGAGCACCTGGACCAGGGAGTGCGCGCCGGGGGATGTGAAGGTTATCGGTTGACGAACCTGCGTGTAGGTCTTTTCAGTTCGGGATGCTGCATTGTGGAAGTGAAAGGCTTGCGAAGGTGCTCAAATCATTGCTACAGGCGTGTTGTTGTTGCCTATCCATGGGTTTCGTGTAACTGGGGCGAGGGTGGAAGGTGGAAGGGGGGGGAGAAAGAGCTTGGGTAGGCTGTATTTGACGTGGAAATAGAAATCGAAGCTGCAGTCGCAGTTGAAGGAGAAGATGGGAATGGCAGGGTTGGGTTGAAGTCCGATTGTGTCTGGAGGCAAGGAGGTGAAAAGAAACTTGGATGGATAATGGCAGTTGGTTTGGGTAACAAAGAGAGAGAGAGGAGCAGAGGAGAGGAGAGGAGGGTTTGGTGCTGGTCGCGGTCGCGGTCGCGGTCGTGGGTTGCCGTCGTGGTCGCGGTTGCCGTCGTCGAGTCGATGCACCGCAATGATGGAACTTGAAGAGAATGGATTGGATATGTTTTGGTTTCCAAACTAATAGATGATAAGCAGATGGAAATTTCGAAGGCGAAGGAATTCTCCTATCCATCCATATATTATGACTATTATCTACAGAGTAAAACACTTCCCCCGTTGGCCCCCCCGGTCACACGGGCTCGCTTGGACCACTATACCAACACCCACCCCACCATACCCACCGTACCCACTCTACCCACTATGCCCACTATGCCCACCACGACCCACCATTCCCCACTGTGATTGCTTGTCGGATCGGTTCATGCTGACTTTGCGCCGCCCTCGGAAGCTTGCAGGATTGACGTACAGTAGCCTAAATAGTAGTAGTAAATGTACTCTACTACTGCGTCTTTTATGGACCGATTCAGGGCATGGCAAGGGGTAATAGTGGAGAATTCAAGGGCTTTAAGCCAATTGAAATAAAGGCCACCTAACTTTACTTATCTTTCGTCTTGCGTACAGAGTAGAATCTTTCTTTTTGCTGGAAACTCTTGTGTATTCGACCCGTTTTTAATCTGTTGATAGCTATAATTATTAATAGCTATAACAAGTAATAGCTGTAATAGGTATCAATCAGTTCTTGAGCTCACCGAAATCTTTACCAAGGAGTTTTTCTACGACTTTGGCTCCTGAAACGCCGAAAAAACGGCGTAGACGCTCAAAAGAAACTACTTTATGCAGAAGACATATTTTCTATCTGTTGATAACGCTCAATCGATCTCTTTTAAGAGACTACGAGAAATCATATCGGAGGCTTGGGACGCTATCCCTAATAGCCATACCGAATCTTTATACGAAATCGTAATAGAGGCGTTGTCAAGCTGTAATCGATGCTCCAAGAGGGCCAACTCCATACTACACAGAATCTTAACCGATTGACATTTTCTTTATTCCGATTGGCTTAAAGCCTTGTGTACTCCACTATTATTACCCTCTGCCATAGCCCCTGGAATCGGCCCACGAAAGACCCAGAATTTAGGGAGGGAAGAGTAGCAAAGCTACTTTTCGGTAGTTCTACAGTGTGCATGGAAGCTACTTAAAAGCCAAAAGCTGGATACAACCATGTGCATATCATCAACAACATCACCACCGACTTACGTAGTACGTAGTACACCATCCAACGACCACTACTTGCGCGTCACATCTTGGCAACGAGGGACTGGGACTGGGACTGGGACTGGGACTGAGGATATCTGTGTCTTGAGTACTTTGTATCAGGCCCGGTACACCATCTCTGGCTCGGCTCCTCACCGGCCTGCTCACCATGCTCTTTTTCCTCGCCATACTCTGCTGAGTGATCAGCCAACACCCGGCCGAATTTCTCTTGGGAAGCGCGCCTGATACAGTACTGATACTGAGGGTTCCGTAGGTACAAGTACGTTCGTTGTACGTTGTAAATAAATACCCAGGTCCAGTAAAGCCATGTCCCACCACAGCTCTTGGAAACTTGGCACCGCATGGACATGGCGTGGCACGGTATCAGAAGCAAAAAAGAAGCTCAAAAGAAGAAGAAGAAGA